GTTAGGGCAGTAGTGTTCGCACTAAAAATATGGAGGCATTACTTGTATGGTGTACAATGTGAGGTGTTTACCGATCACAAGAGCCTCAAGTATTTGTTCACTCAAAGGGAATTGAACATGAGGCAGAGGAGGTGGTTAGAATTAATTAAGGACTACGATTTGACAATCAACTACCATCCGGGCAAGGCAAATAAGGTAGCAGACGCCCTTAGTAGGAAATCGAGAGGGTTAAGAGAGCCCACGGCAGAGGATCAGATGAAAAATTTTGAGGTGGAGATGGTAGACTCCACAGCCCAAGTGCTAGCTGCCCTGGTAGTCGCACCTATCTTGATAGATAGGATTAAGGAGGCGCAGCACTCGGATGCCGGGCTCGCAAAAATCAAGGAAAAACTGGAATTGGAGCCCTTTGATGGGTTTAAATTGAGAGACGATGGGAGTTTGTGGAAGGATGGTAGGTTGTGTGTGCCAAGGGATGAGGGATTAAAACAGGAATTGCTAAAAGAGGCACATAATTCGAGGTTCTCGATCCACCCTGGTGGAACCAAAATGTATCGAGATCTGAAGGGCAATTATTGGTGGAATGGGATGAAACGAGATATAGCCGATTATGTGGTGAAATGTCTGGTGTGCCAACAAGTGAAGGCCGAGCATCAAAGACCTGCCGGCTTGTTGCAACCCCTAGAGATTCCCCAATGGAAGTGGGAACATGTGACGATGGATTTTGTAGTGGGGTTGCCCCGCACCATTAGAAATAATGATGCCATTTGGGTTATAGTCGATCGATTAACGAAGTCGGCCCATTTTCTACCACTGTCGAATGGGATATCAATGGAGAGGTTGGTAGAGATGTATATGGAAGAAATCGTATGCCTTCATGGGGTCCCAGTGAGTATAGTGTCTGATCGAGACCCTAGGTTCACGTCCAGATTTTGGTCAACTTACCAAGAAGTTATGGGGACTGATTTAAGGTTAAGTACAGCCTTCCACCCTCAAACGGATGGACAGTCGGAGAGAACCATACAGACTCTAGAAGACATGCTCAGAGCCTGTGCCCTAGACTTCTCGGATAGTTGGGACAGGTTGGTAAAGCTAATGGAGTTCTCGTACAATAATAGCTATCATAGTAGTATAGGCATGGCACCATTTGAGGCATTGTATGGACGGAAGTGTAGATCCCCCTTATATTGGGATGAAGTAGGCGAGAAACAGATCACTGGTCCTGACTTGGTGGAGCGAACTCTGGAGAAAATTAAGATCATTCGGGAAAGGTTGAAAGTAGCTCAAGACCGAAATAAAAGTTGGGCAGATTCAAAAAGGAGACCTTTAGAGTTCCGACCGGGAGAAAAAGTGTACTTGAAAGTGTCCCCTACCAAGGGAGTAATGAGATTTGGACGAAGTGGTAAGTTAAGTCCGAGGTATGTGGGACCTTATGAAATACTGGATAGAGTAGGACCGCTAGCGTACCGACTAGCTCTCCCACCTGCTTTGTCAAGGATACATAACGTGTTCCATGTCTCCCAATTAAGGAAGTATGTGTCAGACCCGAGTCATATTGTGGAGGACCAACCCGTCGAGGTGAAAGGGAACTTATCAGTGGAGGAAGTTCCTCTAAGGATCGTTGACCGAAAGGATCAAGTCCTAAGGAGAAGGACCATACCCTACGTCAAGGTGCAATGGACGAACCATACACCACGAGAGGCAACATGGGAGTTAGAAGAGGACATGCGGAATAAGTATCCATATCTATTCGATCAAGGTACGTAAGTTTCGGGGACGAAACTTTTTGTAAGGGGGGGTAGAATGTAAAACCCACGATTTTTGGCACCGATGTTATTATTCTATTTTATTTTCTCAATTAATTAAAAAGATAAAATTTGCTGGGTAAAGGAAAAAGAAAATGGAGTAACTGTAGGATGGGCTAATGGGCTCTAATAAAGTAAAACTCTGGCCCAAGCCACCTATTAGTAAGTATTGCTAGGGTTAGAATTTTACTAAGATCCTAGACAGAAAAAAAAATAACCCTAGCCTTACTTTCTTTCGTCTGCCCTAGAGCAAGAGCCGTCAGAGAGGAGAGAAGGAGAAGAAGGCGTCACCATCAATCGATCCGACAACTAGGCACCTAAACTTGTAAGTCCCGACTTCACACAAGTAATCTTCTCTTTTTAAGTTTTAGTAGATGTATTGATTATTTTAGGAGATTTATGGATTTGTGATGTTGTTACACATATGTAGATATATATGTTCTTATACGGAATTTAGAAGGATTCATATTGGATTAGTGGAAATAGGGTGTTAGATCTTGGTCGTTGGTGAGTAGATGACCCAAATTTGTTGAGGAAAAGAAAACGAAAAAAAAAAAAGGAAGAGGAGCAGCGGCGGCTGCTCTGTTTTGGACAAGCACTGCCGCAGGGAAAAGGAATTACAAGGGTTGGCCGAAAGGCCAACCCAAGGCTAAGAATAAAAAAAAAAAAAATATTAGACAATGTCGCCAGCACTTGCTGGCGACAATGGATGCAGGTAAGGCCAAGGGCCAACCAATTGAAGAACTTGGGTCGCCAGGCTCTCTGGCGACCATGGTCAAACATGGTTGGCCAAAGGGCCAACCATGGCCCCACCAAGAATTAAAATAAAATAATAGTAACAATAATAATAATAAAAATAAAAGTAAGTAAGTAGAAAGGGAGCAATTTAAACTTGGACCAAACTACAATATAAAACTCAGTAAACAGATTTTAAATATAATTAGTCCATTTTTATAGTGTATTGGGAATATTAAAATCGAGGACCCAATTTAATATAATTACTAGAGTTGGGGGTTAGTTATGTAAGCTATTACTTTAGTAATTAAGTCTAAAGTACTTAAATGGAAATCTAAAACATTTTAACCTGGCCTTATTAGATTAAGTTATACAATGTAAGAGGAGCTCTAGATTGTTGAACAAAGCGCTTAAAATAACAATAATAATAATAGTAATAATAATATGGATGGAACAAATAAAGGATGTAAACGAAAATATAAATATGTAAATACAAGTGTAATAAATTAAGACAATAATTATAATAATAAATCGATATATTTATAAATATATATGCACATATATAAATAATAATAACACCTACACGTGCACAAAAGTTAGGAATAAAGTAAAAGGTAATAATAACTGATAAATATATATATAAGTGGTAATAAAATAAAGTAGCGGCGACAAGGACGATAATAATATAATAATAAATAATCATTAATTATAAATATGTATAGTAAGATAACAGTCAAAATAATAAGCATGATTATAAATAATTGTTTTATTTTAAAATTAGGAAACTTTACAAAAGCAGAACTTTCCAAATTAAGAAACTTCTAAAAATAGAAACTTTCCAAATTAAGAAACTTTCTACAATTAGAAACTTCCCAAATTAGGGAACTTTCCAAAAATAGAAATCGCCCAACTTGAGGGAGATGCTATTAGGGTCCATTTAATGGTCTAAGTATGAATCTTATTCTTTTTAGAAGTTGTATATTTGTGCATTTATAGGAAATAGCAGCTAATTAGGGAACCTATGCGTTTGATAGGTGCAATACAAGGACCTAAGGTAGTTCTACTCGAGCAGCCAAACAGAGGTAGGTGGTACTTACCCTTCTGAGATTTCAAATGTGTAAAGTGGAATTCTTGTTTAAATCCTATTTTGTTGTGTTGACTCGAAAGGGTTTGATTAAATGCTTTGCTTACATATTTATGTTTTACTATACAAAACTGGACCATGTGACTTATTTGAAATGTTTTAATACGTTTCTTATATACAAAATGAGTTGAATCTTTTATGAAAGCAAAGATTTACGTATACGATATATGAAATGAATTTCGACAAGTAAGCTCAGAGCAGTCATGAAATAGACGGTAGGGGCTATAGTCCTGTTTAATCGCCATGGTAGCCTGGTATTAAGCCCAGCCGATTGGTGAGGTCATGGTAGCCTGGTATAGAGCCCAGCCGATTGACCAATGAATAAAGTCATGGTAGCCTGGTATAGAGCCCAGCCGATTGACCAATGAATAAAGTCATGGTAGCCTGGTATAAAGCCCAGCCGATTGACCAATTGAGAGAGTCATGGTAGCCTGGTATAAAGCCCAGCCGAGTGACCCAAGAATGAAATGAGACCAATCGGTAGTCATGGAACTTATTGGTCGCCCACCTAGAAGGGGTAAAATCTCTAGGCTGAGTACTCAGTAGCCGGTCATTACATGTACTTGTCATGAGCTGATCTGGATGAATTGATTTATGAGTGAATATGAAGAGATTTGTGACTTGAGACGAAATGAGTATGACTTTACGATTTCTTATGTACAACTATCGATAAATGCTTTTAAATTGCTTGGCTTTCATTACTATTGATTGCTTTATAAATAACGTTACTTCCAAAATTATGGATGGGAATGATAGGCACTTGATTTGAGTTGTACTTATATATTTATGTACCTATAAAATTAAGAGTGCATGGTCCAACAGAGGGGTAAATATTACCTACTGAGCGATGTGTCGCTCAACCCACTTCTTACCATTTTTGCAGATTCGGAAGAGTATGAATTGGTCTACATAGAAGACCCTGAGGATGACTTTTATTAGTTTAGGTGCATAGAAGTTGGCAGGCTAGCTAATTCTAGTGTTATCTTATTTACTTTTGTTTCCGTTGTTTCAATTGGAGAATAAATGTACGAACGCCTTGAATATTCGTAGACATCCTTTTATATGTAATTCGAGCCGCACTTTATTTGGTTGAATTATTTAGTATTGCCAAGTTTAATTAGTTAATGTAGCCTTGTATTCCTGAGTGGGACTTGGGAGTACGGCGGATGTGTCGTGTGACGGGCACGTGCGGGCTCGGGGCGTGACATGTTCACATCAAAAAAGTATAAACAGTAAGCAACCAAAGTTCAGGATTTACTTCTATCAGCATAGCTGCTGATAAGAGCAGCACTAAACCTAAATAGAACAACTAAAAGTACCAGGCAATGTCAGTTATAGCTGCATAATGAAGTCCAGCCAGGATTGCTATTGGTTCAATACCCTCCGTATCATAGATATATAAAGAGTTCAAAGTGGCCAGCGCAAAGATAAGGCGATAAGGGAGCCTAAAGAAGTCAGCTGTACAATTACCAAGTGGATTTCTCATCAAATATAGAAGCCATACGGTACACTGAAAAGGATCTAGAATATGATTTTAACAAAAATTTACATGACTTTAATCCTCGCAAGCTAAATCTCACAGGGCAGAACCGCACTGCCACAACAGGTTTGCTGGCACCAGGAAGCGTCAAAGCAGGTCTAAACGTTGACAAAAAAAAAAGGTTTAGTTAAACAAAAGGTACAGCCCTGTTAAATGAAAAACGTATCAATGACCATGATTAATGTCCAAATATGTAACGGCCCCACTTCTCCCTAGGGCGTACCCCAGGGTATCGGCGGACCGTCTGCCCAGCTCTCGCCGGGACTCAGTCAGTTGCTATAAGAGAAGGCAAGAAAATCCACAAAACAATCGAAATAACAATAATTCCAAACTTAAACGTAAATTTATATACATTACGGTCTCAATGGAAGTACAACTGTCAAAATATAGGTTCTCAATTCACCATACAACCAGCCCGTGCCAAGCACTAGGGCGAGAACCTTTACAAAAGAAACCAAAGTACTAAAACGGCTAATCTATTCGTAGCTTCCGTCCTCGCACGTCCTCCCCTGCTAAGGAAAACAAAAACTAAAGGGATGAGCTGGAAAGCTCAGTGAGGTTCCGTACACATAGGCAACAAGAGAAACAAATACATGTAAACAACAATTCACGATACAAGTACAATAAAGCGTTAAACACATTCATTAAAAGGATACGGGCTCACAAGGAGCCAATCGTTCATTCATTCATTCATTCATTCTCCTTCCATTCTCCTTCCTTCAATCATTTGAAAATGCATTTTTGTATAAGTAAAACCCCTCGTTCATTCATTCATTCATTTCATTCACCCCGTCCCTGGCTTTTGGCCAGGCTCCACCAACCTACAGGGTAATACTCGAGTATACCGGATCGTTCACCCAAGTTCCTAATCGCTCGACCGAGTCCGACTGGCTCGAGACGACCGGTAACAAGGGGCAATGGCCAGTTCAGCCCGAAGGCCTACATTCATGCACAATTAACATTTCAATCGCTCAATCATTAAAATTTCACAATCATTTAGGCTAAGTGCGGTAAAGTACACACTCGCCTCGAAAATCATTTTAGCAATCATTGAAAGCGTTTAACACGTTATCAATCATTCAAACAAGCCATAAGATCAGGAAACATAACAAACAAGAAACACTCACCTATAACCGCAAAACAACGCCCAATTCTCAATCACCAATGAAACCTAAAATGACACAAAGACCACATTACCATCCATCTAACATGATCTAGATAAAATCAAGAAATACCCGACTATTCGCGAGTAAACGTATAAAAGACCTTCAAAGTGTAAAGAGGGCACTTGGATCCGTAGACAAGAATAACCCTAATGCAACCCAAACCAAGAAGGTTATCAAATCTCTAAGAGGAAACACTTAACTCAACACAATTCAAATTTCCGATAGAGAGGCTAAGAAAACATTCTTTCAGAATTGTTTATGTGACTCAAAAGCATATATATTCAAGTGGCCAATAACTGACCGAAGCCTTGATAAAATCATGTGAAAAAGAGGGCAAAATACTTTAACTTCCACATTTAAAATCTTGTTTAAAAACAATGCACTTATGGCCGATAAAACTCGAACTCATACCTCTATAGGTTGGAAAGGCTTAAGGACCATTTTGAAGTTTGAAATGGAAGGGGTATCATGTTTTCAAAAGATAAAACGGTTCCATTATTTGCCAAAAGACAATATACGAGTTCGAATAGAAATTTAGTCTTTGAACCCTTATTCAAAGACCTGAAGATACTTCCAAGGACATACGTCCAATTTGATACAAAATACATTTCCAAAAATCACTTTAACTTTTTCATTTTACAAGAAAATAAACGGACGGCATGTCCCTTGTGTTTACCTATTTTTCCAGCCATTAATGGCTTCATTATTTTCCTCAAATCAGTCCCAACATGTCATATAATATAATCTCATGTCCAAAAGCCGTTCACTAGGCTTACAATCATATAAATACCACAATAAATACAAAAGCAGGCTAGAAACATTTTTTTTAGATAAAACAATACTTGACAACATTTTGCGGAAATGGCACTAAAGGCTCTACGATTATCGGATAGAGGTCCAAAATACACCGTTTTGAAGCTAAGAGATAGGGTTACAACAATGTAGGAGGTCACTCAGTCCAGTTTGTAGTGTAACTAGGTCAAAAATACAAGACACTAGTTCAGAACTGCAAAATACAGGTGGACAAACCACGTTCTGGTTAACGAACTACAATTCAGTATACCTAGGTCCAAATCCATTGATTCCAAAGCCATATGATAGCTAGGACATCAGTCTACATTTCATAAGAAGACCTTAACAACCAGTTCAGAAGTATTCCTAGCCAAATTAGCTAATTACAGAAGCAAGTCCCAAGTTCGGATGAAACCAGGGCAGCAGGGGTATTTTCGACTTTTCTCACTCTACACTACTCCGATTGACCCGAAATTTTGTAGGCATCTCTAAAATGTTATTACCTACAACTTTCATGTTTTAAGACAAAGCTAATTCGGCCTTTAACTGTGGTGAATAGGGCCGGGCAGAATTGAGGGTAATGAAACTCTAAGTTTGCCAAACTTCCTTCCAAACCATAAATTGCTTGCAATAGCCATCATTTACATTAACTAGCCTCATTCTATACATTTCATACATCACACATGGCCACAAAGCAATAACCATAAGCACAAATTCGGTTTATAAACGATACAACAAGTCCAATTAAGTCACAAAACCTTCAATTAAAGTCAATTAGAAGTTCACAATCCTACCACAAGAAAACCCTAAATTGAAACCCTAAAAACCGGAAATTTACCCACAAGCGGAAATTTCCGCAACCAACCTTAATTAACGTACACAAGCTTCCAATAACACCATTTAAACCACTAGTCCAAGTCCAAACCAAGATCATCATATAAAATCAGAAAAATGCTCAATAAATCAGAAAATCATCATAAATTCCTCAAACCCATGAAATACTCCACAATATAGCATATATAAACACTACAAAGCTCTAATATATCATTAGTAAACCAAAATAACAACTTTCTTAGCAACTTACCTCAAAACTCAAGAAGACTAGCAATTCAAAGCTTCCCTCTCAAAATCACTCCACCCAAAAGCTTTAACCTTCCAAGAAGCTCACTTGTATGGAGTGGTTCCAAAATCTATCGGTGAAATTTCAAGATTGAAGCAAAAATCAAAGTTGAAGATTGAAGAGTTTTTTTCTCTCTTTGCTCTCAAAACTCACGGTTGAGAAGGGAAGAAAAATGAGATATTTTGGTGAACCAAAAAGATAAGAAGGAAAGAAACAGCCGGTCAAAGGTGCTGACCGGCTGTGCCACGTCAGAATCCGGCCAGTTTCTGGCCGGATTCCTGGCCGGATATGAGGCCGAGACGAAACATTTTTTTTTTCAAAAATGTAGGGCAATCCGGCCGGATTTGGCCACTTCACTTTTCCAAATTTTTTTTTTTTTTTTTTTTCCGAATTCGATTGTCGCGCTCAAACGTATTTCTAACACATACACTTACATATATATCTCATACATGATTTGCACATAACAACAAGGCCTTCCCGTTTGAAACGGTTAGTGAACAAATCTTCACTTAAATGGAAAACGAGAAATAACCAAAATGCTTAGAAAATATGCAAGGTTTGGGGTTCTCACAAAATAAGTATGCAATTTCACATGTAATCTGAAGGACAAGAGTACAGGGGAAAAAATGCTAATCTATCGTATCTAGAAACAAGCTGATAAGATACTTGTGATTAAAATAAAAATGAAGAGTAGACTTACCTAGCAAGATCATTTCTAGAAAGGATATATGCAGCATTTACTAATTCAGAAGATGGTGTATGTTTGAAAGAACCTGATAGAGCACATAAATCATTAGTAGCATTCTAATGCATAAAACATTAACTGGCCTCTTAATCTCCAGTGAAAAATGACAAGAAAATATAGGAACAGGAGTAAGATGGTTCATTCCATGGCAACCACACCAACGGCACTGCTAACATAAAGCACATGAAAAATATCTCCAGATAAGGATCAAAGATTGCATAGATGTTTATTTAGCAACATAAAAGTACGTTTAGTCCAATATTCACTAGCACCCCATGTATGCAGGAAACCATCTAATATTTCCTGAATATAACTAAGTAATGAAGGTACGGCATTCCTCCTTTCTCCTTGATGTTTGGGAATGAACAATAAATAATAAAGGAGAATGTCAAAAATTCTGAGAGGTGAGGTGCAGTGCAGAGGAGAGGATAGATAATGCCAAGAGACAAAAAGAACTTATTAAAGCAACTTATTAGAGAAATGTCAAAATAACAACTTATTAAAGCAATACCTGCAGGCACAAGTAAGAATGATCCATCAGGAGACCAAGCTAATCTTCGGAAAAAAGATGGCAGTGTCTCATCATGGAAGAGGTGATTTTTAGCTGTCTGCATTTTGATACCACATATAAGACTCTTAAAAAAAGGAAAAGAAAAAAAGAGATTTAGTTCTGGCATGTGCCAGCAGAAGAAATTTCTAACCTTGGATTCATCTGTAGTCTGTGGTTCCAACCTTGATATGACATACTGACAAATGTAGTTCATCCTATCATTTCCTTTTGTTTTAGATGGCTTGTTGACATAAATCCTACAGGTTCTATCTGAGCTGAGCGAAGCTAAAAACTTAGCTAATGGATCCCATGCAACACCTTGGACATAATGAGAATGGCCATCTAAAATTTGATGCACAGAACCTGAAAGGTTAACATCAACCAATAGGTTTACTGAGAACAATGTCTGAACATCTAACAGCTTCAGATTTTCTTCTGCTTCTTCACTAACTATATGCGCAAGAGCTATCAACTGATGCACAAATAATATAACAGCTCACATTCGCTGCCCTACCTTTATTCACATCCCATATGATACAAGTGCTGTCAACAGATCCAGGAATAAGAAATGTACCATCAGTGGACCACTGCAAGTCCAATACATCCTTACGATGAAACCTATAAAAGGTCATTAGTCAGTACGGAAGCAAATGCAATACTCCTTGTCCTGAAATCATTCGCCTGCCATTGCTGCTGAGAATTCATATTGACATCAATCCATTTGATGCAGCAATGACAAGACATGATATATAACTAGACCATGATTAGTTCACCACATTCTCAAACAGTAAGACAAGATCTTTTAATTAAGACTACAAAACAAAAGATTGTTTTTGTACCAAATGTATTATTACATGGTCTTGATTCTGGAGTCAGTCTTAAATTCTTGGGCCAGAATTAATTTGATGGGATCACTGTGTAAGACTTACCTCCTTTAGAGGCAAATTATGACTCACATGATTGATTGATATTCTAATTAATTGATTGACAATTAATTGGTATCTCCCATTAGGCAATGATTGGTGATTGGTATCCTGATTAATTGATTGACATTTTGTCAATAATTAATTAGTATATTTCATTTGTTAGTGATTGATTGATATCTTATTCAATCAGTTAATCAATCAATTGGTCAGAAAATATTAATTTCAGTTATGAATTTTGGCAAGATTTCCTTGATGGAAGGAAACCCTAGGGATTTTTGTATTTGCCAGTAAGGGTCCCTAGCCTATCCTATAAATAGCCTGTGGTATTCCATTAATTGTACACTTTTGGGTTAGGCATAGGTTAGAAGATCCTTACTCTAAATTCTCTTTCTACTTTTCCTTCTTCTACATATTTTATATTGATAGAATAGACAAGAAGAAATCAAAGATACAAGAAGAGATCAACTTGTGCTCGACAACAATGGTTAGAGGTAAGTATATTTAAATTTCCGCTGCGTAGTACATTCACATGTACATAGTTAGTGTAACATGTGGTATTAGAGTCAACCTCTAACCATGTTGTTTAGCTTATAATTTCATGGTTTATTGGCAATCTGATAAAAGTTTTAGAGATTCGTATCAAGTTTAAACGAATCGAATTTAATTTGCCATGGGACCTATGGTCTATTTTCTCAATAATTGAAATTTATTGACTAATCCTATGTATATGTATCATTCATATGATACCTTATTTGGTTATGCAATTCATCCAGATTTTCTCCAATAATTTGGTATGATTGCAAGTAATTTGAATGTTTCTTGGACTTACATATTTGTGATTGTAAGGGTTATATGTATTGATTGTTATTATCAATACAATATAACAATTCGAGAAACATATAAAGAGTTGTTATATTCAACAATCAAAAGATTAATATCATATTAATCTATGCAAGATAATTGGTTGACTTTATATGAATGGATCTAGTGGTTTATTGAATCTTTGCTACCTTATTATGATATAAATATCTGAAGGTATGATTTCAATATGAGTTTGCCTCCATGTTTCTATTGTTATTTGGAATTATGTAGTATTTTGTGCACTACACTTATGTCCATTTATCTCATATTATAAGGTCAACATTAGTATGATTGATTACATTTAAATTTCAGAGAATTTCCTTTATAAAGTGTGTTTTGCATCTCAATTATTTGATACATGAAGTATTTTAATCACATAAAGGCTGGTGGTTAAAAATGAATATAAGAAAAAAAAAGGAAATTATGAAATTCTTTTGTCAAAATATAGACTTTTGACTATTTTGATATCCTTATAAAGTCTAGTACACTTTATGTTTGAGAGTAGCCATATCATCTCAAACATTGATGTACGACAATTTTGATCACATATGGTTTAGTGATCAAAATCAAGGATTTTTTGGTCAACAAATTGACTACTGATTTTCTATGAATTTTCATTAAAAGTTTTCTTACATCATATATTTGGGAGTAGCCACAGCATCTCAAATATACGGTGTAAATAACTTTAATCACACAAGATTGAGTGATTATAAAAGGAAAGGAAAATTCAATGAAATTCAGTCAATATAAAGTTTTTTGACTATTGATAAATAACAAAATGCCATGTTAAGAATTTCACTTTTACATTACTATTTGGGAATAGCCACAGCATCTCAAATATTTGATGAGAAAAGTTTTTCATCACATATAGTTTGGTGATTGAAATTATGAATTTTTAGTCAACATATTGACTAGTTGACAATTTTTCTTCTAATGCCGTATACTTAGGAGTAGCCACAGCATCTTAAGTATATTGGTGCTTGGAGAAATTTTGCATTTCTTTTTCACATATTGTTGAGTGATTAAAGAAATTAAAAAAAATTGGCATCTATATCAAGTTGCAATTAATTCATTGAGATAGTTATCCGGCCCCACAGGGAGGTAATTATTTTGATGAGATTAATTGACATAAGATGGTAAATTACACAGTCAATTAAGAGATATTTCTATGCCCACAGGTACGAATTATTTCTTTATTTCATTGTTCTAGATTACTAATCTTATGATTAAGTAAAGTAAATTGTGACGACCCCACTTCTCCAAGGGCGAACCCAAGGGTATCGGCGGGCCGCCTGCCTATCTCGCGCCAGGACTCAAAACTTAAAACAATCAAAGCCAGAAAATTCAAAAGAGTACTATATACAACCCCAAAAGAGTTATAATTACATTCTCCAAAAGTATCGAGTCAAACCACCAAAACAAAAAACAAACATCCTAACTGTTCAACTATTACAAGCAAATCTTACTATACTAGTATACGAGCCAAAAGTCCCCGCGTCGGCCCCTGCTAAGGAAAACAAAAGGAATGTGGTAAGCTATATGCTTAGTAAGTAAACAGGGGCGAAAGCATAAATTTCACGTAACAGTTACACAATAAGAGTAAAGCAAAAGCAGAAAAGTAACATCACATAATAAGGATACAGGTGGCTCCAAAGCCAACTCATGTGCCATGCGTGATCTCCTGCCGACACTCCGTCGACCACAAATAATAGTCCGTAGAACTTCACTTGTACACCCACCGACACCTTATCACCCTCACTGGCCAGTCACCTCACAAACTTGCCCGGGCGAACGAAATCACAAACTTGAGCTTGAGTCACAAGCTCGGTCACAAACTTGGTCACCTTCTCGGTGAACCGGATTCACAAAATTGGTTCATAACATGAACCTACAAACCTGGTGACCTCAGACTAAGTTGGACTGCCTTCGACCAAGCCCTAACCGGCTCGAATAGTCCAACCAGGTCAAGAGTTCGCCCCAAACTCACAAACTTCACAAAATTATTCAAAATCACAAACTCTGCAAACTTCACAAACTTTATTCGAAAGTCGCCCCGAGCCACAAGCTCAAGGGTTTTGGTTCCAAAAGGTTCATATACATATGCCATGTACAGATATGTGCGCAAATTAGGGTCTAGGTCGAGTGCGATAAAGTACACCTCGCCTAGGTACCCTCTTCATACAAATCGAAACACATAAGCAACGAACACACAAAAGCGGCCTGAATACTTACCCAGAAACTGAAATAGCAAAAGTACGAAGTCGGATCGAAATGAACAGCTAGTAGTGGGCCCCACCAATTCCGCCCAGCTCACCACCGTCTGAAATAGAAGATTGTGTCACATAATATCGCAAACGACTACTATCGTGCCTAAAACAAGCAAAACGGCAAAAACGGCACGTGCGCACGTAAATATGACGAACGGAAACGGAGACGGCCGTTAGCGGAAATGGCAGATTTGACACTCGTTTCTAGTTTACTCATAAGTTGAGCTACGAATATCGGATTAAGGCGTATGAGACGCCATATCGAAGCTTAAAGGATGAACAACAACTGTTATGAAGACATCCAGAACTGAAACTGTGACAGCCCCACCTCCCCTAAGGCGTACCAAAGGAGTTAGCGGACTGCCTGCCCAGCTCTCGCCAGGACTACTAAAATGTCAAATCCTAGCTCAAGTCGTTCGGGAAAACTATTAGCGCGCTTAGCCAACCCAACAATCGTAAAACGGAAAACAAAAGTCAAAACGTAGGGTGAATAGTGATTGCCACGTCACCATCCGCCAAGACCCAATCGAATACAGGTAATCCAACAATCACTGAAAATGTTTATCTCAATTCATATCTTTTGATGATTACAAAACAATTGGATGTTTCTAATACTTTTTGTAAAGATCCTTTTCAGAAATAAACCAAACAGGTATGTGGAGTTAAAGCAGAAAAAGAAGACCAGAAAGGAATGAAGTATGCTGAGGATGATGTCGGACGCACAAAAGGAAAGTATCGGACGTCCGATATTCTTTGAGTATCTTCGAACGAGTAGAGAACTCAGACTCGGACGTCCGAAGAAGACAAGCCAGGAGTTACTCTATTACTAATTTGGTTCGGACGCTCAAAACCTGTGTATCGGACGTCCGACAAATGTTGCTGATCTTCGGACACAACACTTTGGATGCATCGGCCGTCCGAAGGAATTGAAGAAGAAAAGTCCAAGTATTCATCCTATCCTCGGACGCATGATCGGACGTCCTAAGAGACTCGAGAAACTTCCAGAACTCATTTATATCATTCGGACGCATAAAAACCAAGCATCGGACGTCCGACAGCACCAACGGCTAGTTGACTCTTCAGCTGCCTTCTACCCGTTGACAGCATTAATTGAAGAATTCTCTGATCTCCTATAAAAGGAACTAAGTCAGCCACCTCAGGGAACTTTGTACATCAAGCCTACATCAGATTGTGAGTGATTCAAGTGCTAGAATACTCAAAAGAAACATTTGTATTCCTTGTATGTGCAATCTTCGTGTAGCTGTTTTTCAAGTGTGACATAGCTTCTTCAATAGTGTAGCAAAGAGAGGGTTTGCGACTGTTTGTAAACTTCCTTGCTTGACCAAGTGTATTTTTGGGCAAGAAGGAAGTGATCCCTTCCTTGTACACATAAGATTGGTTGCAAGTCTATTCAGCTTGAAGTAACTTGGTATATAATAGAGGGTTTCAAACATCAGTTGTGTTTGAAGCTTGGTTTGGCTCTTTACTCTCATTTACTGCTTTTCTATATAAACTGCTTTTCTCCTCATCTCACTAATACCTGTGCTACTATATTATCTTGTTCATTGAGAAGTATCT